CTGTGCTTTTTCTTATGTTTTCTACATCCCCTAGAGTAAACATGTACTATTTTATATAATAGGAAAAACATTAATACCACAACATATATCCTTCTGTAAGTTCCTCAGTACTTATATTAAAAAGTCCCAAATTCTTAGCTATGTACTCAAAAACCTGACTTAATATGCTATAAGGACCACTTTTTAATTTTTTTTTTTGCAGTAATAAGGATTGAAACCAATACTTTCACACTGAGCTATATCCCCGGCTCTTTTCCCTTTCTTATTTTGATTTTGTCTTGTTGTTTTGTTTGTTTTTTGAGACAGGGTCTCACTGTGTAGTCCAGGCTAGCCCTGAACTCACTATGTAGCCCAGGTTGGCCTCAAACTTGCTGCCTCAGCCTCCTGAGTGCTGGGATTAGAGGCATGTCCCACCATGCCCAGCTCTGCATTTCTTTTTTTTTTTTTTGATACTGGGGATTCTGCATTTCTTTTTAATTGGGTTTTTTTTTTTTTTTGAGGTGTTTTGGTTTTGGTTTTTGTTTTTTGGTACCAAGAATTGAACTCAGGACCTTGCACTTGCAAGGCAGGCATGGTGTCATTGAGCTAAATCCCTGGCCTCTGCATTTCTTATTTTGAGAAATGGTCTCACTAAGTTGTTAAATTAACTATAATGGGTTCAAGCTTGGGATCTTCCTGCCTCAGCCTCCCAGAGTGCTGGGATTACAGGCATGTGTCATCATGTCCAACTAGGAGCACATTCTTTTAACTTATACTGTGCCTTATGACTTAGCTATACTAACCAGTTACTAAACTTTATGTCAATCTATGCTTTTCCTAACTCTCCTCTTCCTACCCTATTCCCTATTTTCTATTCCACTGCCACCTATTTCAGGGCTCAGTTCAATTAGCCCTAATGTAAACATGGTATAAATGGAAAAATAGATTTGTCTGATTCTCAATTCTCTCAATTAAAAAGTCTGCTATTCCAGTTTTTGACTTTGGACAAGCTATCCAAAGCCTCTGAAATTCAAGTCTCATTTCAAATGGCAATAATTAAACAAAAGATGATAAAACAAAGGGCCTGGCACAATGGGTTACTCACTTCCATTTTATTTGGATTTTTTGTTTTGTTTTTTTCCGGTACCGGGGATCAAACTCAGGACCTTGCGCTTGTGAGGCAGGCGCCGGAACCACTGAGCTAAATCCCCAGCCCACTTCCATTTTATTTGTAAAGAACATGTGTAGTTCACATTTGTAGCAGTGATTTTTTATTTTATTTTATTTTTGGTACCAGGGATCGAACTCAGGACCTTGTGCTTGGAAGGCAGGCGATGGAACCACTGAGCTAAATCCCCTGCCCTTTGTAGCCTGTGATTGTTTTAGAAAGCACTTTTTTACTCAGTGTTCCCTCTGGAACACAAACAAAAGGCCAGAGAACATTAATCAAAAAACAGCCTTGGGCTAGGGATTTAGCTCAGTGGTTCCTCCACCTGCCTTGCAAGCGGAAGGTCTCAAGTTCGATCCTTGTTATCAAAAAAAAAAAAAGAAAGAAAGAAAGAAAGAAACAGCCTTAGCAGGACATGGTGCCAAAGGTTTGTATAGCAAAACCATGTCTCAAAACAAAACAAAACTCAACAGGCTTAGACTCAGTTATTACATTTCCTCAGTCTCCTTAAAAAGTTTTCCCACCACCCCTTGTTCCATTTCTTTTTTTCACTTTCTGTACAAACTACAGAAAATTATGATTTTCATCTATAACCATGGTTTTTCCTACCATTCAAAAGTTCAATCCTCTGATCAGATCTCTAACTTAAAATTCCTGTATTAAAATTTGTAAACCAGGCCAGGCATAGTGGCACAGTCTATAATCCTAGCTACATGGGAGGATGAGGCTAGAGTATCACAAGTTTATGACCAGCCTGGACAAATTAGTGAGGTCCTGCCTCAAAGTTTTTAAAAAAAGGGCCAGGGATTTAGCTCAATGGTTTTGCCGCCAGCCTAGCAAGTGCAAGGACCTGAGTTTAATTCCTGGAACCAAAAAATAAAAAAATAACAAAAATCCTAAAATAAATTTATCTTTTTCCCCGAACATGCCGGACTTCCAACATTCCCTATGGCACTACTAGCTACCAAATACAGAAACCTGAGAGACATCTATACTTCCCTTGTATCCCTTTTCCTCCATATTCAAGTCTTGCAATCCACCTCAAATTTTTTTTTTTGGTACCAGGGATCGGAACTCAGGACCTTACACTTCCAAGGCAGGTGGCGGAACCACTGAGCTAAATCCCCGGCCCTCCACCTGAAATTTTAACTCCACCTGCGTTCCAAACTGCCCGGCAGTTTCATGCCTTAATGCTTTTGAACAAATTATTACCTCTCTCTAGAAAATCTTTCACTTCTTTCTTTGCTTGACTAACTTTTCTTGATCTTTGGAATTAAGTTGAAGAATTTTCTCTTCTAAAAACAAAAGGTAACTAGAATGTATTAATACTGTATTCTAACCATTGTACTGAAGTTTGTATGGGTTGTCTTGCCTAATACTCTAAATACAGTAATGAGGTAAGTGCTACTATGTTTGTACAGATAGGAGGTCTCAGCAGTAACTCATGGGAGGTCATATATAAATAGTAAATAGTAGAAATGAAGTCAAATCCAGGTCTGAGCCCAGTATACAAGAATGCTCTTACCCATCCCACTATACCATAGTTCCCCTTCCACTCACCTGCCAAACCCCAGGCAGGAGTTTCTCTTCTACTATCATAAAGAAGGGACAAAAATCTTTATTGTCTTTTCTGAAATGAGTCTCTGAGCAACATTAAGAGGTCTTCATATACTTGTTTCTGGCCCGGGGATTTAGCTCAGTGGTTTCGACGCCTACTGTGCAAGCACAAGGACCCAAGTTCAATCCCTGGTACCACAAAAAACATACTTGTTTCTTTCTATCCAGCAGAATGCCTAGGTACAGTGGTGGCGAACCTATGGCAAGCATGCTGCAGCCAGCTGTTATCACTGAAGCTCTAAAAGGTTTGCCATCACTGGCCTAGGACATGGCTGACCCACAAAAAAATAGTAGGTTCTTTCATCTTACTATGTTATACATCACCTCCTCCTCTCTTCCTCAAATCCCACAGCACTTTATACTTTTCTTAGAAAACATCTTCCAGACTGGGGATGTAGTTCAGTTGTAGGTAGAACACTTGCCTAGCATGCTTGGAGCCCTGGGTTAAATCCCCACGGCTACAAAAACTAAAACAGCTTCTGCCTCATATTAGCCCTTTTTTTTTTTCTGGTACTGGGGATCGAACTCTGGTCCTTACGCTTTCAAGGCAGCCAGTGGAACCATTGAGCTAAATCCCCAGCCCCCTCATATTAGCTTTTTGCATATGGTGTTTACCCACCAGACTACGCTCTTTGATGGTAGAACAGTTTTGGGTTTTTACGTGTGTGTGTGTGTGTGCGCGTGTGCGCGCACGCACATATGTGCACTGGATATGGAACCCAAGGCCTTCATACTAACCTACATCCTTAGTGCTTTTTTTATTAATATTAATTTTTAGTTTCTTGAGATGGGGGTCTTGCTGTGTAGTTCAGGGTGGTCATGAACTCAGTGATCTTCCTCCCTCAGCCTCCTGAATGCTACAATTACAGAAATGCATCACCAAGCCCAACACTTTTATGGTTTATTTTGAGACAAGGTTTCCCTAAGTCAATAAATTTCCCAGGCTGGGTTCCAACTTGTGATCCTCCAACTTCAGCCTCCCTGAGTGCTGGGATTACAGCCCTGGGCCACCACACCCAACTGTAGGAGTTTTGAAAAATCTTTTGCAAATACCTTTGCCTATATTAATTGTTCAATAATAACTGATTAGTGAACCTATGATTAAAATATAACTAGCCAGGCATGGTGGCCCACACCTGTGATCCCAGCACTCGGGAGGCTGAAGCCAGCCTACACTACATAGTGAGTTCAAGACTAGCCTAAACTACATAGTGGGACCCTGTCTCAAAACATAAAATAAAATAAAACATTGTAACTTGCTTAACAGGTTCCCACCAGCTTGACCCCACTGGTGATATATGGAATATTGTTGAATCTGGCAGCCAGGTGATACAAACGGATCTAATCACTTTTATCTGTCTTTTCACTAATAAAAATAATTTAAAAGCTGCCCGATGGGATAGTCATGCATGTACTACCAATGGTTCAAGCCACCGGGCAGCGAGACAAACAAATTACAGACCCGTCGTGAACGTGCTAACAGTATTCATTTCTATCATGTAGATTTCTTCCCATTTCCGTTAAACGGTAGCCCTACTACTAGCAGCCCACGCTTTCCAAGCCACAAAGGGCCTTTTGATTAATTTGTCACACCATACGTTTCCCCATGTCAGAAAACTGTTAGGGCTGATGGTCTCTAAAGAAAGTCAATCCACGGGCCGGGGATTTAGCTCAGTGGTTCCGCCGCCTGCTTCGCAAGCGCAAGGACCCGAGTTCGATCCCCGGTACCAAAAAAAAAAAAAAGAAGAAAGTCAATCCACTAGTGACTCCCGAATCAAAACAGTATAGAACCCTGGACTGGTGGAGTGAGTCACGTGACTCTGCACAATGACGGCGACTGTCAACGTGATTTCAGGATCACATAACTGACTACACAACCAGCCCGCTGACTAGTCCTCTGGGCTTTTTTACGAGCTGCCATGACCAACCATATCGCGTTCAGGGTGCTAAAGAGTGGTGGAGAAAGCGATGATCCATCTGCTCTCAAACCTGGGCATCTTCCCAGATCCTGCGTGTCAGGCGTCCCCCTCCCCGACTCCCCAGCACCCGGGGGCGTGGCTCTCACCACCCGCCTACTCTCTCCTTAGAGGCTCAGCCGGCTTCTCCAAGACCCTCCCCTCCGGGTGGCCACGCAACGTGGGGATGAAGGCCACCAAAAGCGGCAGACAACCCCTCCCCGCCTCGCATTGACTTCAGACCCAGCCAGGTGCCCTCTGGCACGCTCTTGGCTCCTCACCTGCTCGGCCGATACCGACCCCTTCCCCGCGCCGCTCCCGCTGCTCTTGCCGGAGCGACCACTGCTCTCCGCCATCTTCGCCGCCCGCCAGGCTTCCGGCCTGCATAGCCCTGCCCTCCTTGCGTCACATCCGATCCGAGAGTTACTTCCCACTCGCCCGGGTTCCGCAGGCTATAGGCCGCTGCTCGGTTCGGATCCCGTGAATGGTTTTGGCCGCCTTTTCATGTAGGAGCTACTCCCTACCCTTCCTGCTGCGGTGAATTCTGTCTGCGGTGCTTTAACTTGTGCAACAGAGATTCTCGCCCCAGGGAGAGGCGGGGAAGGCGGGCTATTCTTGGGATGGGGGGCTCAGGCTGAGGTGTGGTCCTGTGCCCATTGCCCACCTTGGGGTGGTAGGGGGCGAGGGAGGGTGAACTTCCCCACGAAAGTTTTGGTGTAAAGAGGGAAATATGCTTTGAGTCAATAAACTGTGGGAGCGCACAATCCGAGAGAGAGGCTGGAGAAAACTAAGGTCTCCCCGAGGTGACTTTTGGACTGCGGAAGAAAAGGGATTCAGTTTATTTTCAGATCACTGGAAGTTGAGATATTCAGGCACTGATCATAATCTCCTCTATATTCCTACCTTACGATCTCTTCTGATAGCCCATACTTACAGTAAAAAATGTTTTTGAAGACTTGGGGGTGCCTTTACTGTCAGGGCCCTGATTCAGACTCACAATATGAAAAGAGACATCAGAGAACCCTAGAAATGTATTGTTTGAAGGGGGTTGATTTCTTGATTTCTCACTTTCCACAGGCTGGGCTTCATCAACAACCAGCTCCTGTCCTTTCTGTGTCCTGGACTCCGGATACGTGGACTCTCAGTACTTTGTGCTCAGACCAGGTAACATGTTTTGTTTTGTCCTCAGTACCTGGTACACAGTAGATGTTCAGTGTTAACTGGATGGTAGAAGGCATCAGTCATCCACAGAACACTTGATAGAAAAGCACCACCGGGCCCTGGGTTAGTATTCTCTGTAAGAGCATCGTCAAAAGAAAGTCAAGTTTTCCTGCCTCCCGGTTTGAACCCGTCATTAAACGAGTTTCTTCATGCCGGGAAATCTGAGAACCCTGCCTCTGCACTCCACAGGCCCAGAGCCATGGCTAGCTCATCTTCCTGGGAACTGCCCCTAGTGGCTGTGTGCCAGGTAACATCGACACCAGACAAGCAACAGAACTTTAAAACATGTGCTGAGCTGGTTCAAGAGGCTGCCCGACTGGGTGCTTGCCTGGCTTTCCTGCCTGAGGCGTTTGACTTTATTGCACACGACCCTGCAGAGACACTACGCTTGTCTGAGCCACTGGGTGGGAACCTTTTGGAAAATTATGCCCAGCTTGCCAGGTAACAGGGAATGGGGAAGGGAGTAGAATCTTTGTTGGCCCATGTCACTGGATTGTCAGAGGAGGGTAGAGGCTTGAGAAGAGTTGTCAGTGTCCCCTCCTCCCCCAGGGAATGTGGACTCTGGCTGTCCTTGGGTGGTTTCCATGAGCGTGGCCAAGACTGGGAGCAGACTCAGAAAATCTACAATTGTCATGTGCTTCTGAACAGCAAGGGTGAGACATCATAACCCTTTAGCCTGCCTCTTCCCAAGCTCTTGTACCTAAACTTGGATTCTTCAGAACTGTTTTATTTCTCTATTTCCTTGGCCCAAGGTTTTAGGGGTGCTTATACTTCTGAGCCTATAGTTGTTTTTTTTGGTACTGGGGATCGAACTCAGGACCTTGCACTTGCGAGGCAGGCAGCAGAACCACTGAGCTAAATCCCTAGCCCTTGAGCTTGTAAACTGTCTCCTTCTTAGGCGGAAGAGTCACTAAGCTTGGCTTCTAAAGTACCAGTAATCAGCATTTCTTCTTCCTCTTACCCTAGGATCAGTAGTGGCCACTTACAGGAAGACGCATCTGTGTGATGTAGAGATTCCAGGGCAGGAACCTATGCGTGAAAGCAACTCTACCATACCTGGGCCCAGTTTTGAGTCACCTGTGAGCACCCCAGCAGGCAAGGTAGGAGTTGTGAGAATGAAGGTGAGAGAGGGAGAGGAATAGGAATACATGAAGTGGTAACAGAAGATAGCCCTAAGGAGTGGGACCTTGGGTGTACTAGATGCTGTGACAAACAGGACGGGGATGCTAAGTATGCTGCTTTTCATTTCAGATTGGCCTTGCTATCTGCTATGACATTCGGTTCCCTGAACTCTCTCTAGCATTGGCTCAAGCTGGAGCAGAAATACTTACCTACCCGTCAGCTTTTGGACCTATTACAGGCCCAGCCCACTGGGAGGTAAGAGGACACCTCTTCAAAACATAAGGACTTTCTTTTAACTTCATTCCCTCCACACTCCTTGGCTTTACAAGTTGATTTTCTTCCTCTTCCCACCTAGTGAGAAAATTCATTGCCCCAGAGAGTTGTGGCTTATATATTATAGTGTAGTAAATCACTAAATCATTCCTAAGCAATTATCAGAATGGTCATAATGGGTAGAGTACCCATTTCCTATCATTTCCCCACTAACTGCTCTGTTCTTGAGTGTTTCTCATCTTGTCCTCAGGTGCTGCTGAGGGCCCGTGCCATTGAAACCCAGTGCTATGTAGTGGCAGCAGCACAGTGTGGACGCCACCATGCAAAAAGAGCAAGTCATGGCCACAGCATGGTGGTGGACCCTTGGGGAACAGTCGTGGCCCGCTGCTCTGAGGGGCCGGGCCTCTGCCTTGCCCGAATCGACCTCAAGTACCTTCGACAGGTGCGCCAACTTCTGCCTGTGTTTCAGCACCGCAGGCCTGACCTCTATGGCAAGCTGGGTCACCCACTGTCTTAAGGTTTTTCACTTTTGCAAGTTGAGACCCCCACTGTGAGGTGCTACTGCTGTGACTTATAGGCAGGACCCAAGCACAGCTCCCCTCACTTGGAAAACCTTGACTGTCTTGATGGAACACAGGCCCAACTTCTTGGGAAAGGAGAAGGCTTTCACCTGAGCTCAGATTTCAGTTTCAGAAAAGTGGAATTTTATATAGTCACTGTTTATTTCATGAAAATTGAAGTTATGCTGAGGGCTGACCAGCACTAGCATTGAAAGAAATATAATAATCAAAGTCTGTGTCTGGACATCTCCTTTGGGAGCTGACGGGGAGGTGGTATTGTACCTGCTGGACTAGGCTCCAGTTCTAGGCCTCCTGGCTCATTCAGCATATCCCCCTACCTAAAAAAAAGTGCAACACTCAGTGCATGTACCAGTCCCATTCTCCCAGGCCTGGAAGTGGGAGGGTGGGTAGGAGAGGAGGAAGGAAAAAGGAGTCAATACTGATTACTTCACCTTCTCTTATGGTGCCCTTTGTCCAAGCCAGAAGAAAGCAAAGGGGAGAAGGGCTACAGGGTATGTTATTTATTTTTACGTGAACATGGAAAGTGTCACACGTCCCCTTCCCCTTTTTAGGGGGAGTGTATTTCAGTCAGCAGCCTCTTCACCACCCACCCTGTGTGTGTGCACACACACAGCACACCCCACAGTTGGGAGGGGTGATGAGGCTGACCAAGTTCTCTTACGTTACTCCCTTGAAGAGGGATTGACAAAGGGGAGAAAGGAAGGAGCCACACCAGGTAGCAGTTTGAATGGAGAAAAGGCGGCAGAGAGGAGCAGCACCAGAGGCCAGGAGAGAGTGGAAAGGGCCACAGCTTCTGTTTCTTAAAAATTCTGTAATTTGGAAGAGGGTAGTGATTAATTTCCAAAATACACTTCCGAATCCCACCTTCCATACAGCTCCCTTACTCACAGCCCTTTGGTTTTTCAGACAAAATTTAAGAGCCCTCATAAAGCCAGAAGTATTGATAACCCCTCAATGCACCCAAAAGCAGTGTTCACTTCAATCCCTTACAAAGACTGTGTCCTATAGACTTTGCATCTCCCTACATGTTTGTCTTACGGCTCAGTGGTGAGGTGGCTGCAGACACACATTGGGGTAGGTGGGAATGGGGACCAGGGTAAGCCCAGGCACATGGGTGCGGAGAGGGCTGGGGAACACCACTTCCACACTCCTTTGTCTTTTCCTTTAAAAAAAAAAAAAAAAAAAAAGGCAGGGGTGTGATTGGTTGGAAGGGCAGAGAACAAACCCCAGAACTGTATGTAAGCTCCAGAGGCAGGTGGTGGGAACAGTCCCCAGAGAAGTTAGAAGGGGAAAGGTCAGGGCAATGCTTGCAGCATCAAGTTCCTCAGGAGTTTCTGTCGGCCCAGCTCATAGTCCTCCTCATCCACATTCACCAGCAGCTTAATGGCTTCATGCCCCACAGCTTGCTTGAGTGAGTCTGTGATGAAGACACCTTTAAGTGCCTCTAGTAACGAGCCATTGATGTAGTCGCGCCAGAATGCGTCGAGGTAGGTGAGCTCAGAGAACTTGATGTCACAGATGATGGAGCCCAGGTCCCGGGACTTGAGGATGGTGTTGGCCTGGCTAAAGCGCTCAAACTGGCGCTCAAGTGGGTCCTGCTTGTTAGAGAACACATTGCCTTGCAGAGCAGTGTCGTGCTGGCAGTATTCAGCCCGAACCCGCAGTCTGATGTCTGCGGGAAAGAAGACAGGGAGCAAATGAGGTTACAGTGAGGAATAAGTTACAACCCAAGTCTGAAAAATGAAAAGAACAGCAGAGTAGCCAAGTAGGGAACATGACCTGACAGCTTCTCTACCACTTCCCCAGAATTAGTCCTTTTCTACAAATCACTGAAATTCCTGGCTAAATGCAAGAGGTTGCCTTAAATGGGACAAAGCCAAGTCAGCATTATTTGTATCACTCAAAAACAGCACCCTAGGTTGGGGATTTAGCTCAGTGGTTCCACTCCGTGCCTCACAAGCACAAGGTCCTGAGTTCAATCTCTGGTACCGCAAAAAAAAAAAAAAAAAAACAGCACCCTGCTTGTAGGAGATCATTTCCTGCTTATAGGCATCAGAGCTCATTTTAATATTTGGTTACTCCTATGGTAAGGGTGTCATCTTGGCATCCCTTTGAGTATTAACTCCAAAGAGTTGAAATGTATTCTCCTATGAAGATGAAGAGTTCTGGAAATTGAAACATTTAACCTCACTTTGCAACAACAATGGATGTGAGCTTTACACCAAACAACATAAGCTGCCCAGTATCCCAACGGTTCTATTTTTCCTCAAGGCTACTCCACCTCTGGAATTTATGAACTTCCTCACCACATGTCTGCTTTTCCTTGGGATCTGGTGTCACTGACTTCCGGCGTTTTCGCTGGCTCCCAAGTGTGGCTCTCCCTCGGGCTGGCCGCTTACTACACATCTGAGGACCCGAAGTGGGGCAGCACACCACAGGATAATGGGGAGGCACTGACCAGAAAGTAGAAGGAAAGAAAATACAGTAAGGTAAAGGCAGAAATTCAAACACTCTTCTGGGAATGTGGAAGGAATCATTTAGACTTAGCACTGAAAGCATTATCTATACTGTGACCTGAAAGGACACAACGTAAGAGCAACACAGGGCACAGATGAAGCATTTACACCTCACCTGATTTTTTTATGGTGTTAGATGTGCGGAGACGGCATCCTTTCATGTAAGCTGGCAAAACCAGGAATGTGATATGATCAGTGTCCTCTTGCTTAATTATGGAAATTAGGAGGAGTACTATCTTCTCACCTGTTTTGGGGGGCTGGGGAGGCCTCGGTTCTGGATCACTGAGGGTTCTTGGGGTCACATAACGAATTGACGTCTCCTCCAGATACTTGTCTACAAGGTCAGGGCACACTGCAGTGGGGAAAATAGTCATTCAGGGGAAAGTACACCCCTCACTTCTTCCTGTGGGCCTCATGATTGTCCTAGATACTCCCCAAGGTCAAGCCCTCCTCCCACTTAAGCTCCTATGCTACTCACTCCAGGCCCCCTAGAACTCATCCCTGATTCCAGTGTTCCCAGCCACCCAAAAACCCTCACCAGCCCTTCTCCTCTTGAGGGTGACGTATGGCAGCAGGTCATGGCGAGTGATGATGCGTAGCAGCTGCAGCACCTGGCGAAAGTTACTCTCATCACAGCGGCCCTGGCGCTCCAAAGCCAGTAAGAAGTCACGTCCATTTCTGATGAGTCCACGCTCATGATCATCAATGACGTCGACAAAGAGGAAAGAAAGCACACGCACATCTCTGTGTGTCAGGTGGGTGCCCACGATGTCAAACATGCGGTGCAGGCTGTATAGCCCATGTTCCTGCTCGCCATGCTCTTCTGGCCACACCTGGCTTGCCCGCCGCTTTAGCCCCGCCATGCTGGGGGCTCAGGAACACAATGCTGTCCAGAATCTCTGCTCAGCAGCTATAATCCCCAGTGCACTGTGAGGACAGGGCAAGAACCTGTGAGCTGCTCAATGGTAGGAGCCAGTTTTATTCATCCTAGTGCCTAACATAATACCTGGTACAGTTTCTTACTTAATACAAGTTTATTAAATGTTTTAAAGTGTTAAACAAAAAATAAACCCTATAGCTCCCTGTACCCCAACAGATGATTCCCTAAGTCCAGATTCTACTGAAGAAATATAATCACTTCCCCTGAATGAGAATGTTGCATCAATTTTAGTAGTACTACTTTTTTTTTTTTAATCAGGGATTGAACTCAGGACCTTGCGCTTGTGAGGCAATCGGCAGAACCACTGAGCTAAATCCCCAGCCCTTTAGTACTACTTTTTCAGCAAAAGTTGCTATACATATTCCTCTGATTATTCCTCTTGCCCCCAAAACGATAGTTTTTGTTTCTTGAAAATTTAAACTCTGCCTCCTCTCCTCCCCAGTTCACTTCATTTCTTTTTTTGTTGGTTCGTTTGTTTTTAACATGGGGACCTGCTATGTAGTCCAGGCTGGCCTTGAACTCATGATACTACTGCCGCAGCCTACCAAGTGCTAAGATTACAGCCTGTACTACCACGCCAGGATTTCAAAACAGGGAATTTACTCTTAAATAATATGGAAGGTGCATTTAGGGATTAACAATAAGAAAACTGAGAATAGTTACAACTAAATTCTGGCTATGTTACATCATTAACAAGTTATGTAGCAATGTGACATTTTTCCACCTGGTACAGGGGATTAAACCTGGGGCCTTCACACTGAGCTACATCCCTAGACCTTTTTAAGACAGGGTCTCACTAAGTTGCTGAATTCCCCAAGGTGGGCTCCAACTTGCAATACTCCTGCTGGGATTATAAACATGCACCACCACACCTGGCACCTGTGTGACTTCAAGAAAGTCACTAACTTCAAAGCCTCAGGTGCCTTCATCTATAAAAAGGGATGAAAAAAAACAGAATCCAGTGAGAAAATGCACACACACATCACTATTTTTGTGTATTTTCTCATTGGATTTTTAACAAGTACCACACACACACACACACACACACACACACACATCACTTTTTAAACCTTATATAGTCATGAAAAAGACTAAAGATATAAGCATCCTTTACCTGTGTCTCAGACACAACCCCTACAAAACTCTCATTTTTCTTACAATCCAATCAAGTCCAAAAGCATAACTGCTCAGAAGGTTAATGATATTCACCAAAACTTCAGAACCCTATATACATTATATAATTTGGCATTTGATTCACAAAGTTCTTCCATCATCCTGCGTAATGCCAATGACCCAGCTATTTTTAGCCCTCCAGTCTAACAACTTTCACCTCCACTCTAGTCTGTCATTCTTTTTTATTTTATTTTTTTTGGTACCAGGGATCGAACTCGGGTCCTTGTGCTTGCAAAACCACTGAGCTAAATCCCCGGCCTTAGTCTTTCATTCTTACTGCCCTGCCAGTACCACCAGTACTAGTCCACCCTCTGATCACAACCTCCAGTCACCCAACTGATGCTAACTTCCTGCGGATGCTACTTCTGTTTCTTAAATCTGCCCCACCTTGTCACCTCTACTGCCACGGTTTAGACTCCAATACCCTCTCACCCGGACTACTGCAACTACCTATTTTAAAGAGTTCTTACCACCAATCCATCCCCCACATCTGAGTTAGCTATCTAACATGCACAAAAGACCACATCACTTTTCTGTTTAAGAATCAAGTACCCTTCCTTACCTAGAACACTCCAAATTCCTTATACAGTGGACCAGGCCTTCCAAGATCCAACCTCATCTCCCACCACATCCCACTTTCTTTTCTTTAACATTGATCTATTTTATTCTCTAACATTATCAGTTTGTTTAGCAATTTACTCTACTTTTCTTCAATCTATTGCCGTTGCCTGAATGCCCCCTTCTCTATTCCACACCCCCATAACCACCCTTTTTCAGATGGCTAACTCCTAACTCAATCCTGTAAGAGCTGGTTCAGATGCCATCTTCAAAATGCATTCTCTACACCCCTAGCCTGGGTTAGGGAGTCCTCTTATGGAACAGTGTGCATGTTTCCTTTATATCAATGTACTAAAATTATTTTGTGTATTTTATTATCCCATTAGATCCTATAAAACTCGTGGAGAGAAACTAAATCAAATTCATCTTTATATCCCTAGTGCCAAGTGGTGGACAGACCCTGGCATTTACAGAACAATCTGCTGTTGAACTGAACTTAATCTCTAAGAGATCACCACATCCAATACCAATTAAGAAGTGCAAGATTCCAAAAAAAAAAAAAAAGAAGTGCAAGATGGGCCAGGGATTTAGCTCACTGGTTCCGCTGCCTGCCTTGAAAGCACAAGGTTCTGAGTTCAATGCCTGGTACCAAAAACAAAAAACAAAAAAAAACAGACATAGGTTACCTTGTATATATTCTGCCTAGACAGTGCTGGCCCTATACCACAGAGAACTATTTATACCATACTACCTTACTCAACAATAAGATCAGTTATAAAATGAGGGGTAGAGGATATAGTTCAATAGTGGGATGCATGTTCAGGATGTGCAAAGCCCTGAGTTGGATCCCCAGCACCAAGCAGGGGGGTGGATAAGATGATAAGCTATTTGAGCAGAACCAAACTGATGAGGATTCAGAAAGCTGAGGACCAAGTAAGCCAAGGATGGAAGCACAAAGGTACCTATCCCCTTAAGAGTCACTTAACACCAGACCATGGGTTCTGATATGCGGGAAGGAAATCTAACATATATAGTTTAGAGCCTAGATGCCCCCACCCAAAGCACAGGAAATAGCTATTCAACTACTGACTGGTTTTCCTTGTCTCTTCCTCTTGTTTCACCTGCTGCTGTCACTGGGTACAAATGGAAGTGCTGAAGGAAAATAACATCTTGCTCATAGCAGGCAGCAGGAGAAAACTGAGCCTCTTTAGAGTCCCTACAACTTCTGTGTTCCCTATCCCACCTGTTCCCTTTGGCCAGCTGCTGATTATGAGGTTCCCAAAGAAAGCAGATGGGCAGATTTCACATTCAACCAATCAGAACAGCAGGTTGCCCTACAGTTCCCTATTGGAGGGTCCTTATAACCCAGGGAATGAAGAAATAATGTCCACACATGCGTTGCCACTGAAAAATGAGATAAAATATGGGAAAACTGTGGTCCCCATTATCCATCAATGGATGCAATTCTACAACAGACCTCAATCCCCTGAGGGTTAACTCCCTATTTTGAGAAAGGGGGACCTTTCTAGCCACCTTTAAGTCCTTAATCCTAGGCTGAATTATCCAAGGTACTAGGAATTATCAGAGCTTCTAGGTCAGTGGTTCTCAATCAAGGGCAAATTTGTGCCCCAGGGGATATTTGACAATGTCTGGAGACATTTTTGATTGTCGTGCCTAAGGAAAAGGGGTTGCTACCATCATGTAACAAGGCCAGGGTTGCTGCTAAACATCCTATAATGCACAGGAGAGTCCCCCATTACAGAGTTGTCTAACTAAAAATGTCAATAATGCTAAGGATGAGAAATCCTATTCTGAGTGAAGCATGTGAAGGGCTAAAAGAATGCACATATTTTCCATACTAGAATTGGAGAAGGAAGACATCAGGTCTCTCCCCCCGCAAAAAAATCCATCAAACAATATTCCAGAGGAAAAGATGTCAGATCATTTAACTCTTGAGTCCAACTAGCACAAAGGAGTTTCATCCAACCTCAGGCTTGGCTCCTCTGTCACAGGCTGTTGCCATTTCAGGTGAACAGCAGGTGGTAGGGCTACAATCCCTTCTGCCCCATCCCAGGAGTTCTACTTTGACCTAGTTCAATCTGGAGTTCTGTGACAACAGGAGAAATGCCATCCTCTTCAAGACAGACACAAAGGATTCTGCTCTTAAGCTTCAGGCGTGCGCGTGCGCACACACACACACACACACACACCTGTACCAGGGATCAAACTCGGGATCTTGGGCTTTTGAGGCAGGCCACTGAGGTGCCACTGAGCTAAATCCCCAGCCCTTGGTGCATTTTTTAAATTCTGAGACTAGCCAGAAGCAGATCCTTCCTTGTTAGGTCACTGATCAGACTTATACTACTTAGTCAATGAGGCAAAACATAGCAGAAGTTTCCCAAGGCCATGTCCTTGGGAGAAATGTCAGGAGGCTGACACACAGGCTAATAGGCAGCTCTCTCACTTAATTATCATCTAGGGTTATGAATTAACTCAGCAACTAAGATGGAGGTTCTGGAAATCTATCTTCAGGATTAAAAAAACATGATCAACCTCCTCATAAACCAAAATATACTCAGCTTTCTGTGGCAGTGAAGCAAAGGAGCTCAGTATAAAATATAAATATCTAGTTGAAAGGTATCAGAGTGGTGAGGAGAATGTTCTCTAAAATGAGGATTATAAAGAACTCGAATCTGGGAGCTGGGGATTTAGCTCAGTGGTTACACCGCCTGTCTCGCAAGCGCAAGGACCCAAGTTCGATACCCGGTACCACAAAAAAAAAAAAAAAAAAAGAACTTGAATCTGGGCATCTAAAACACCACTACAGACTAAGAGACAAACACTCCAGAAAACAATATCTTACTACTGGCTTGTCTGGATCTATTTGAGATACTAAAATGATGCCCCCACTGGAGTTTCCCAAGAATAATTTTTTTTTAACTGAGTATTTATTGAATAGATAATGCATACACATTTACTGAGGAGTTTAGATTAACTATGTTGATTTGGCCAATATGAATACAACCTCTAATAAACATGGGAAAAGAAAGTAATAACAGGATTTGAATGTATATTCTGGTTTTATTAAAATCCCATTTGCCCCCTTGCAAGCTCCCTCCCCTCCAAGAATAATTTTTAATTATGTCAACTGCTGTATTTCTTTTTTCTTTTTTTTTTTTGGTACCGGGGATCGAACTTGGGACCTTCTGCTTTCAAGGCAGGTGGCGGAACCACTGAGCTAAATCCCCAGCCTGAATTGTATTTCTCAAGTTCTAGGTGTGGAGGTGGTGGTGTTTTTGAGACACTGTCTCACTAAGTAGTCCAGGGCGGCCTTGACTCCAGTGTGTAATCCAGACTGGCCTGGAACCTGGAATCCTTCTGCCTCAGCTTTCTAAGTGCTGGGAGTACAGGCGTGTGGCACCACGCCTGACTTTCTTTTGGAGGGTCTAGGTAAACCCAGGGCCAATTGACATTCCACATGTATTTACAGGATTTCTCCCTAATGGGTCATTCTCTGTTGAGTTTCCATGGTCAAGCAGTCTAGTGTCATCCCATCCGGGGGTGATACATGTACTTTTTGGGAGTACTGACTTTCTCAGAAGCCCTGAGGAAAGTCATGTGAAAGAAATAAAAAAAACAGTAATGCTTTGAAATGAAAATGGCAATCTAGTTTCTTCCCCAAAGGGATATCTGTAGGTTCACAGGAGAACTATAGGTACTCGACTCTCATAAGTTCTTAAGAGGAAAATCATATGGAAGAAGTGAAAAAAAGAGGGATCTCTTGAAACTCCAAGTGAAAACAACATAGGAGGAAAAAAGAATAAAAGAAATGCTATCCATGGTTAGGAGGACATGAAGTGTTCTTTGTGACGATGGGACTAGGAAAATATAACGAAGTATCTGGAAGTCAGAGTTTACAAAGTATGTTTTCAAAAGAAGATTCCAGGAACTCTGAACAGCTGGGAGAGAAAGAAAGCTAAAGGAAAGCCAAAAGTGCTTCAGCAACCCTCTAAGGACAAGATTTAGTAGACAGGGCACTAGTACAGCTTTCCATATGTTAAAGTGTTTCTCTTAGTGTGGACCAAGAACCAAAGCTGAGGATTTGTCCCAAGCCACCTAATTTCCCCTCTCTTTTCCCTCCTATCTTCTGGTACCTGAAGAGACAGTGCGTGCAACAGAGCTTAACGCACTCAGTTAGGTGAGTGAAAACTCATTTTCCCTGGCATCTACCCCAATACATAGCTTATGCCATTTTCATTCTGTTCCATTGTTTGAAAAAAAGTAAAAAGTTCCAGACTTACCTCTGGAAGAAACTTAATTTCCCAGGTCTCTTCCTAGCACAAGTTTCAAAGCCAGCAGAAAAACAAAAACAAATGGGGTAGGGAGTCAAACTTGGAGCTTTATTTTGACAGTGCTAGTCAATTTCAGTCGCAAAAATTCAAAGAAGCCTAAAGCTATTTCAATCAAATTGATCCACTCCAAGATAAAGAACCAACTCACAACAAAACCTTTAAGCTTCCCTAACTCCCTGTTAGTCAATTCACAAAATAATACCAGCTCTAAGAATTTCCAGTCCCAATGTCTCCTGGCAAGAAAGGTCTCAAATTGGACAGCTTCCAGGAAAGCCCATTACCCTCTGGTAACTTTCTCACCGTTCTTCTCAATTCTTTATTCCATTTAGTTACAATATTATTGTTGTCTTTCGTCTTTAGAGAGAACTGGGAAGAAAGTGGTTACAGTCAAAGAAAGCACTATTTCCCATCATTTATCAGACTAGAACTATCCTTCAAATTCTATCTTTGCCCTTTTCTCTAACACAGAATGAGAACAAAATATCCACTGGGGCAGCATCCACTCACACATCTACATCTCAGCAGGGAACGTTTTTCTATATATGTATATTGACCCCCTCTCTCCTAGCACTTAAAGAGCAAAAGAAGAGTCTGAAAACTAAATGACTCTGAATTAGCCTGCCTAGATGCCAGTCTTGTCTTTTCTGTTTTCTCCTCAGACTTCTCAGCATACAGGGCTCCAATATAGCCACATCTGTTTCCCCAGTCTTGTATTGCTAATGACTAAAACCTAGAAAAGTCCTTTACTCCTCCACACTCTACACCAGCTTCCCCATTTCCCCTTCTTTCTGTAACCAGGAAAAACAAGGAAGCAGTAAGCTAGAGAGCCTTTTGGAAAGCAAATCCAGTTGAACCCTCATTCAACCCCAATTCTCCTAACCCACATGACCATTCCCTCCTGCCCTTCCCACCCTATTAAAAGCTAAGGCCCTGGCAATTAGAATTGGCTGCAAGTGATGCTGCTTAACTTGGCTCTCTTCCTTGCCACAGAGGGAAGGGAAACCCCCGAATCCGTATCACCCGTGCAGCTCCACTGTCCTATCTCCCATCCCATTCCCCTTCCTCCCAAACTTTCCTCCCGTCTCTCACTTTCCCCATTGCCTTGTCACACCGACACTCTTTCCAGTCCCCAAACCTTCGTTCTCTCCTTTTCCACCCAAATTCTCGCCTAGGCCCTGCCCCCTCCCACTTGCAATTTAACACTTTCAAAACCTCCCTCCACGAAGCGTCTCAAGTCCAATTCTCACCTTCTCCTACCACCTCACAACAGCTCTGAGTCCAGCCCTCCCTCCAACCACATGCCACAAGCCCCTTCCCCGAGCACCCTCAGCCTCTCCCTCCAGCTCCCACCTCCCTCCCATCCGGCCGTCTCCAGCCCAGCTCCCCACCTCGGCCTAATACCCCGGGCCTGGCCCGGCCCGGCCCGGCCCTTGTTGACGCCCCTCTCCACGCCCCCACCCCGCGCCGCGACCCCTGCACTCTGCCACAGTTGCCACCTCCCCTGCACGCCCCCTTCGGCCGCGCCCCTCCCCCCACCTCGCAGCGTCCCGTCACCTCCCTCTCCGGAGGTTCTCAGGCTGGACGTCGCCACCGCCTCCCCCTCCACTTTCCTTCCCTGAGCCTTTTGCGGCCCCGCCCGGCCCCGCCCCGTCCCGCTCTACTCCCCCTCCCCACTCCGGCCGCCCCGCCGCCTCACTCTTGGTTCAGGCTCGGCGCCGCCATGTTGGATCCATCCGCACCGCCTTCCCGTCCCGTCTCACGGCGCCGCATCCGGGCTCCGGCCGCCGCCGCCGCCGCCGCCGGCGTGGGGGAGGGGAGAGGCGGGCGGGGGCGGCTGCATCCTGCACAGCGCCTCCCGGAACCTGGCCGGTTATCGGCGGCTTCGAGACCATAGCGAGGCATGAACCAGAGTAGCCATACTAAATGAGGGCAGCCTGGCAGCAGCGTTAAGCGGGGAGTGGATGGCCTCACTCTGGGAGGGGAGAATAGAGATTGGCGGCCATCTTGCTTTGGGGCAAGCTGGCAACACAGGTTTGTCCAGACGAAGTTTTCCGGGCGGTAGGAAGGGATAGAACATTCTTCAGCGTGGAAATATAGGTGGCGCCAGAATTGGCTGGTGTCGACTTCGAGACCCACTGAAACACTGAGCTTGGTAGCCATGACGCATAAGGGCGGAATAGCACTGGGGTTGGACTGTCGCGTGAACTTGGGTGAAGGTTCAAGATCTGGATTTGACCTTTGCTTTGGGCTTCCTGGTCACCCGGACGTTCGGTAAACCCGGACGTGGAGCAGGGATCGCTGCTCTGATTCTCTGATCCTCTCTCGGAATTCAGTCTTTCAGCATTTGCCTTTTGAGCGACTGCTTCTTGTGGGAAGTGTCGCCAGAGCTGACTCTTGAAGGACTGGGGAACCTAACCGGGGCAGGGAGGAGGGGGCGCAGGTACGTTCCGGAGCTGCCCACAGCTCGGCAGGCCAAGGAGAGAGGTAATCCACAAGGCTTGTGAGATCGTGAGCGGCTAGGTTACACCAGGCCTTGTAAATTAATTTTAATCCTAAGGGAAATGAAGAGTCTTTGAAGGGTCTAAGCAAAGGTGCTTGCCCGGGACGGGGGTGGTGGCGGGCGCCTGCCTTGTAGTCCCAGCAACTTAGGACACCGAGGCCGGAGGATCAGGATTGCTGAAGCCTTAGAGGGCAGCTTGGGTTTAAAAGGAGCGGGGAGGTGTGGTTCAGTGGTAGAGTGCGTGCTTACCATAAGTAAGACCTTAGGTTAAATCTATGGCGAAGAAAAAAATAATAAATCACTGTTTGCAATGTGAAGGATGGATTGGAGGGCCCAGAGTTAGAGACGATGAGGACAACTGTGTTATTCTTAGGGGTTCAGAAGAGATAGAAGTGTGACTCAGCAATAGAGCTGCTTGAGGCCTTGGATTGGGTTCCCGGTCCAGCAAAAATTAAATTCTAAAGAAGTGGGATGGGCATAGGAGACAAAGATTGTATTAGGAGATGTAAACGTTTCTTGAGTGATAATGTTTTGTTTTGTTTTTTGAGACAGGGTCTCAGGCTGGCTTTGCACTCAGTGATCCTCCTGTCTCAGCCCCCTGAGTGCTGAGATTACAGGCGTGCACCACCACACCCCGCTCGTCTTTGTTTTTTGTTTGGGGGGAGAGAATGAATTTTAGGTGCCTGTGGGATGCCCATTAGACAATATTAGATAATGCCGGTTGGGAACCTAAAAGGTTTGAGCTGTGTTTGTGTGTATATAGATAATTGTAAAATGGTCTGGACAGAGGATGCCATGCTTTTCAGGAATGGGATGAGGGAAGAAAGCTGAAAAGAGGACACTGAGCAAAGACAAAGGAAAGAAAAAAATCAGGAGAAAAGTATCAAAGAAACTGGTCCAGTGCTAAATGTAACAGGAAGCTCAGGTAAGATGTGGACTAAAACGTGGTCCTTGGATTTTGCAACAAAGTCACTTAGTAAATTTAGAGCACTCTGTTTCATAAAGATGTGAGATAGAAACCAAATTGCACTGGGAAGGCACAATGTATAAAGACAGTTTTTTCCAAGGTGAAGCCAGGGATTTAACTCAGTGGTTTCACTGCCTGCTGCACAAGCACAAGGACCCAAGTTCGATCCCTGGTATCAAAAAAAAACAAAAACAAAAACAAAACAACCAAAGTGTAGACTGAAAAGGAGGATAGCTGCAGAGTTTTGCATGAGGGAAATTTGCAAAGTTTTAGGTAACGTGGGACCACTAGATGGAGATAATATAGCAGTTGAATATACTTGGACAGATCTAAAACTTAGCAAAATATAGTAAGTTGAAAAAAGCAAGTGCAGGAGAATATGGCACATTTACACTTATATTAAAAAATTAGCATGAGGCTGGGTGTTAGTTCAGTGGTAGAGCATTTGCCTTTCATGTGCAAGGCCTTGGTTTTTAGGATTGGCGGAGAAAATTAACCATGAGGACTGGGTCTGGGAGGGATGAGACACTTTTTACTTTAGATCCATCTTTGCTGTTTGAATTTGTTTTACTGTAAGCATATTTTTTGGTAAGATACTTCTGTTAGGGCTGGCAATTTGGTTCAGTGACACAGCGCCTGCTTCACAAGCACAAGGTCCTGAGTTCAATCCCCATTATCAAAAAAAAGGAAAAAAAGATACTGTTTAAGAACACTCTAGTTTTATAGCCAGAAATTCTGAAATACCAACATTTTGGACGTAGTTGAGACCATAGATTTGGATCAGCTCCCCAGAGAAGAGCAGAGTGCTGATAGCATTCTGGGAAATTCCAACATTTAAGGCACAAGTAGAAGAGCCCTTTTAATGGCAAGGACAGTGAATGAAGAAGAAGAGCAATAACAACAACAAAAAACAGGATCAGAGCAGATGGTTCGACAGAGTAGAAGTTGACAAGTGTCAGGTGTCCCTAGAGAGGCAAGGAAAGGAAAAAGCCTTTTCGCTCCAGAACCCAGGTTTCTAGGAAGATTGGCCTAAGGCTCAAATTCAGATCTCAAACTTCCCCTTCCCCAAGAATCACTGGGCAATCCAGCCCGCTTCGTGTTGTACCTTATACATCACATCTTCCAGTACAGGTCTTTCATTGGCTCTTGAAATTGATACCAGCTTGATCTGAAACCACCAGTCTTACTGCAGTCAAGAATTGCTACCCTAGGGCTGGGAACTTAGCTCTGTGGCACCTGCCTCACAAGCACAAGGTCCTAAGTTTGATCCCCAGTAGCCACCCCCCAAAAAAGTGCTACCCTCTTCCAGTCCTTACTATGGCCCTATAGCTGCCATCAATAAAACATGGTTTTTTAGAAATGTTTTTTAAAAAATTTTTAAGTGAGAGTATAAGTTGTAGCAGAGAAGACCAAGAACTATCTGCATGTTTTATGAGTTTTCCTAAAATTGCCCAGGATATTAGTAAGAGTTGACTCAAAGAGAAGTATTTAACAGGTGCCGAAGTCCTCAGTATGAGGACTAAAGGGAAGTAGAGCCATGTGGCATTTCAAAAAAGGAAGAGTTTTTGCAAGAAGGTGGAAGCACAGTGATCTGAAAGTAGCAGTGTGTAGCACAGAGAGGGTTGTTTCAGGAATGGGAGAGTAAAATCTCTAGGTTAAAGGGAAGAGAGAATGCATTAGACAAAGCCTGGAGGGTATAGCTCAGCAGAAGGGCTTGCTTGCCGGAGACCCTAGGTTCAATCCCCAGCACCCAAGACATAAGAGAAAAAAAAAGCCAGCCTTGGGGGCCCCCATCTGTAATTCTAACACTCTCGGAGCCTGAGGGAGGATCAAAAGTTCGAACCCAGTCCAGGCAATTTAGTGAGACCCTTTATAAAAATTGCTGGGCAAGGTGGTGCAGGCCTGTAATCCAGCACTTGGGAGCCTGAGGCAGGAGAATTGCTGCAAGTTCAAGGCCAGCCTGAGCTACAAAGTGAGTTCAGGCCAGCCTGAACTACATAGTGAGACCCTGTCTCAAAAAAATAAAAATAAAAAGGGCTGGGGATACACTTCTGTGTGGAGGCTTTGGATTGAATCCCTGGTACCACACACACACACACACAAAAAAAAAGGTAAAAAAATCTCTTCTACTTCTGACCATTTTTTCCTTCCATACCCACTGGAATTATTCCTTTGTAAACCACCTCCACTTTATCGTTTTCTTCACAGAGCATTTATTAGCCTTTCTTAGAAGAATGGTCATCAGGACAGAGGTAGCTAGCTGTGATGTTTAATGTAATGTGTCCTTTATTTGCCCACAAAAGAGAGGTAGACACAGGTACTTTTTGGGGGGATGGGGTAGCTGTGTGTGTGTGTGTGTGTGCGCGTGCGTGTGTGTGTGTGTGTTACTGGGGATTGAACCCAAGGCCTTCGGGCTGAGAGATATCTCCAGCCCTTTATATATTTAATTTTGTACCAGGGATTAAACTCAGGACCTTACACTTGGAGGCAGGTGAGGTGCCACTGAGCTAAATCCCCGGCCCTTTTAATTTTATATTTTTCGATAAGGTCTCACTAGTTGTTAATTGCCTGGGCTGGGCTCAAGCCTGTCATCATCCCTCAGCCTCTCAGAGTGCTGGGATTATAGGCATGTACCACCATGCCCGGCTTCAGCTGTGCTACTGCTTATAGTAGAATGATAATAATTTTTTAAAAGTAGAATAATATCATTTCATATCCATTTGACACCTAGCAGTCTTGGCACAGTGGCAGTAATTCCTTTCCACGAGCCCATCTCCACTAATCCAGGTCATTTAGAGGATGAGAGAAAAGAGCCCGTGCTCAGAGTCACCCTCTCTAGTCAGTGTGCGGGCAGTGGCTCATCACAGCCTATGGGAGAGATACTGCCTTCTGAACTCAGAATGGAAAGCTGAAGGAAAGGCTGGGATTTGTCTTCATTGGGCTTTCTAAAGTAATCTGCTACTAGGCGTGGTGGTGCATGCCTATAATCCCAGCACTCAGGAGGCAGAGGCAGGAGGATCACTGTGAGTTCGAAGCCAGCCAGAATTACAGAGTGAGACCCTGTCTCAACACACCAAAATAATAATAAAATAATAATGATGATGATAATAATGAGCTTCCTTTCCAGGACTTGTAGGACTCAGTCCTTTTCCCTGAGACCCGACCTTAACAATCACACTTTCCAAATTCCAAGCCTTGAGACAGTTGCCTTACTGGCTGTCCCTAAAGTCATCCATTTGAGGAATGTTTGGGGAGCCCTGGAAATTCACTCATTGTGAAGCCTTGAGGTCACAGCATCAGGAGAGCTGAGCAGATTTTCCAAGGTGGAATGGAGTGAATAGGAACTAAACCTAAGGAATGACTGTGTACCAGATGGGCACTCGTGTCCATTGCTGAGGAAGTTTCCAGCCATTTAGGATTTTTTGTAAGCCATAGCTAAACAGCTATTATTCCTTAATTTAAACTCTATACGTCATTTGTATAGTTAAAAACCTTTACTCTGGAGGCTGAGGCAAGAGGACCATAAGTTCAAGGACAGCCTGGGCAATTTAGCAAGACTGTCTCAGAGTGAAAGGGAGAGGCTGGCATGTAGCTCAGTGGTGGAGCCCTTGCCTCGAAGACAGGAAGCCCTGAGTTCAAACTGGGAGGAAGAAAAGGAGGAGACAAAAACTTGTCTCTTGCCTTATGTTCTTTTCCCACCTTACTTGCTTCAACTAAAAACTTGGGGCGCCGGGGATTTAGCTCAGTGGCACTACACCTGAGTTTGATCCCTGGTACTGAAAAAACCAAAAACAAAACTTGGGGGAACTCCACTGAAGAGCTTGAGAATCCTATGTAGGTTCTTCATTACTCAGGTCTTTTGCCTGTCATATTCCTTCTTTCACAGCAGTCTCTGTCTCTTCCTCAGCTAAGAAAGCACCTCTCCAGCTTTCAGAGATCAGCCTCTTCAGACCTCCCCTGTGCCAGCCTTCTCTCCTCAGCACACTCCATTCCCATTCTTGTCTCTTCCTTCACTAGAACTTCCCCCACCCTGGTACAGAACTACTGAGGGTGGCACCCAGGGGTACTGTACCACTGAGATATGTCCCCAGCCTTTTTTGTTGTTGTTTTGGTACCAGGGATTGAACTCTGGGCCTTGCACTTGTGAGGCAGGCAGTGGACCCAGCCATTTTTTATTTTGAGGCAAAGTCTCACTAAGACACTAAGTTGGCTCGGCTTCAATTTGCAATCCTCCTGCTTCAGCCTTCCTCAGTGTTGTTATTACAGGTGTGCTCCATCATTCACAGCTCACTTCACTGGAACTTTTAGCATGGCAACCTTTAGCTTCCTCTTCAAGTACTCCTCTTTCCACTGTTTCCTACACTCTCCTCAATGCTCTGTAATCCTCTGTGATTAACAGGGGCATTTTTTTTAAGCTGGAGAGGTGGCATACCCCTGTAGTTCCAGCACTCAGAGGCTGAGGCAGAAGGATTGTCATGAGTTCAAGGTCAGCCTGGGCTACATAGTGAGTTCAAGACCAGCCTGAACTACGTAGGGAGATCCTGTCTCAAAACAAACAAAAAAGTCACTCATTGGTCCTATTCTTCCCTCTCTGGATCAGCAGGTCATATGTACATGTCAGTTCTTCAGATAACTACCATGTTTCCACTAAATACTTTTTTTTTTTTTTTTGGTGCTGGGAATTGAACCCAAGGCCTTGGTGGTTGTCTCAGCCCATGCCACTTCGCAGCTTTGATAGACTTACTCTTTTCACATCAAACATTCCCTCAAAGAAGTTTCTGTCCTGTTAGCCTATTGTCACAAATATTTTCATGATTCTTCCACCCCTCCCTTCCTCTGATCCTAGGCATTGAACCCAGGGCCTCGCACATGAAGTGGTTTACCAGTGAACTATATCCCTAACCCTGGGTTGAAGTTTATCCTACAACTTCCTAACCTGAAAGTTTGCTCTAGTTCTT